AGTAAGTGAGTTTAGTTTTTATGCAGCACTCAGCAATATTCCAGCTATATGGCGGCAGTCTGTTAATAATCAGATCTGGAACAGACATGAACATCAATCTATGCAATTGGGATACGATGACATGACTGTGTCAACCCAGTCAGCGAGCCTGACCACCCGATCCCATTAGTCGCCTCTTATGACAAGCATGGGTTACTGAAGACCAATTCTAACCAGGATCTTCACGGGAGAAAAGCATGGGTTACTGAAGACCAATTCTAACCTGGATCTTCACGGGAGACAAGCATGGGTTACTGAAGACCAATTCTAACCTGGATCTTCACGGGAGACAAGCATGGGTTACTGAAGACCAATTCTAACCTGGATCTTCACGGGAGACAAGCATGGGTTACTGAAGACCAATTCTAACCTGGATCTTCACGGTATATGTGCTGAGACAATCCGACAAGCCGAACCATTATTAGACTATGGAACCAGCACATGCTATTTTTCAATAATTTCATTCTTGTACTTTCACAACTTTTGTGCCAGGGTCTTGTAATTGTATCTCTTGGTCACCTTGAAGGCAAGTGTTGTTGACTGTGACACTGTCAGGAATAAAACATGCCATTAAGCAGCCATAGAGAAGTGAAATCAAATTGAAGTTTTGAAAGTGTTATGACAATAAAGAAGCCATCTCGAACAAACATGTCACCTCATGATGAACTGAGGAACATTGATCTACTGAGTAGGTGTCGGGAAAACAGAAAGCATTATTTAATCATTCTGAGTGTTGTCAGAGTGATGAAGTCAGTCAAGTCATGTGTCCACAACTAATACAGTCGCTTAGCCATGAAATCAGATGGGTTACTTGACCTGAGTTCAGTTGGACTGATTGGGGTAAAGACATTGATTGGAATCCAAATAAAGATGAGAAGACCATTTCCACCATCAGAAGAAATCTCTGCTTTCTGTTGTACCATTCTATCCATATCATAAACATGGTGTTTTTAGATGAGCATTAATTAGTGCCATCATTGTCGGTGAAAAGAATTGTGCTTGATGTCAGACTTTGATCATGGCTGAGACAACGGAACCTTCAACATGGGCATGGCTGGGTTGCCAATGGGGTGTCAGGAGGATGAGGTTAGGATGATGATGATGATGATGATGATGATGATGAGGAGGAGGAGGAGGAGGAGGATGATGGTTGTGACATTGTGGTCTTGAGATGTGATGTTGTCATGGTTACCACAGAGATGACCTGCTTTCACCAAGGACTGTTTAGTTGCACAATTGTTCTGATTGTGATTGATGCCATCTTAGTTTGAAAGGCTAATATGATAACAAAATACAAGTTCATTTTTTCTCACATTATAGGGGTTGATTTATATGTTTTGTGCCAATGTTTTATCTCACTATTACCATGACAAATGTGTACTGTGTAACAATGTTAAAATAAGGTGACTTGCCAGCCTCTGTTTCACATGGTGGATAAATGGAGTTTAATGTTTACACTTTCACAGATAGCTACCTGCAGGTTCCATGTCCGCCATGAGTTGTTGAGAAAGCTGTAGATTATGGTGTTCGATCCAGGATTTATCTTCTCTGTCTTTGGCTGCCAGGAAGCCATACAAGATTATTTTCAAGATGATATGATTGATAGTTGTGGATTAACCTCAATAACAGGGTGCTACGTCCACATCAACATTGTCAGATGGCTGTCTTGTGTCCATACTGCCGCTAAGAAACCGAACAAGTTTTGTTCATGAATCCTTTCAAGTGATCTGTTTGTCGTTTCAAGGTTGCGGTATGTGGGATGTGGGATGAAACATTACTTGTCAGGCACCCTATTTGGCCCAATGATCTCATCACATCCAGTAGGGCTGTGCAATATTACCGGTAAACAGGTATATACCGGTACAGTATATCGCGATACAATTATTGCGAATATGGTTCAGATTCTGCAATATATTGGGTCATCCAGAGTTAGCCCCCTTTGAATTATCTGCCCTTGACTTCCATGGCAACAATATGTGCTCTAAAAGTGTCAAATATACTTTTATTTCAGTTGGTTTCATGTAACATTTTACAAGTGGAAGTATCTTTATAAGTGGCTCCAAAAGAGCCAAATATTCTACCAAGTTTTGTGTGTTTGAATGGTTTCATATGTAACAGTTTGGAGGAATTAAGTGGCCTCAAATGTTTTATTTGGCCTTATTAGTAGAGCCTCTGGCTCTGAGGTACCATTTCACAATTCAAAATATTTTATTATTTTTCTTGTTTCCTAATGGGACATATGTTATCAATTTATCGTATAGGCCTAAGTCTAGAATTTTGTAGGACTGTATAATGACATTCTAGTCAAGGACCTTAGCATTGGAGGTTACATGAGTTTTTAAGCTCAAGTAGTTCACCTAAATCATGTTTTTGTTTCATTTTGCAATAGTTCATGTTAACACATGTTTACATAGGAGTTGAATCTGAATGAATCACTGACATACGAGGGGCGATGAAAAAGTATGTAGAATCACCAAGAAAACGATATTTTTATGTTTTATTTTTCTACATATTATCTGTCAAGCTCAAGCAATTTGGTTTTTCTATGTTCCAGTCTCAAGATCCTCATTTTGTTTTGACCTTTTAACTTGGTACCCTAAACAAACGCAAAATCTACAATAAATGCATCAAAAACTTAGGAAACAAAATATGCAAGAAATATTTTGTGTGTTTGAGATTGATAGAAGTCCCCTAGAATCACACTTAGATATTAAAGTTCATAAAAAAGCAATTTGAAATTACAATCGCTTGTTTAAGTGACTCCACCCTTCATGTTGACTGAAAGAGCTTGTTTTGGAGACACTACCCATCCCCCTTTCAGATGACGTAATCATAAGGGCATACCTTATTCTAATGTTTTCACCTATGCATACATGATGCCAAGGGTTCAAACTAAATACTGAATGGTCACACAAGTGTCAGCTCACAATATATTGTAAACTGGGCCAGCTTGAATATCTGGACACAATGTTTTTAAAAGATTAAAATGGGGGTGTCCTTAAAAAATAGCCCCCGACTAAATATATGTAGCAGGATATGATGTCAACAACTTTGTTGTCCATTACGGGTTGCCATCCAGAATACATTCTGATCAGGGAGCAAACTTTGAGAGTCGTCTCATTGAGGAGTCATGTACCATAACCGGAATCAAGAAGTCTAGGACAACACCATATCACCCTTTGCGTAATGGTCAGCGTGAACGTTTCAATAGGACTTTACTTTATATGTTAGGTACACTGCAACCGGATCAGAAAGTGGATTGGAAATCGTCCATAATAAGCTGACTCCCTGTTATGTGACTGAAATGTCGTCATAGCAACAATATCCCAGCTAACTCACTCCACTCACTCACTCCACTCACTCACTCACTCACTCACTCACTCACTCACTCACTCACTCACTCACTCACTCACTCACTCACTCACTCACTCACTCACTCACTCACTCACTCACTCACTCACTCACTCACTCACTCACTCACTCACTCACTCACTCACTCACTCACTCATGCATGTATCTCAATGTTCACATTCAAGTGTGGGTCTGCTTGTATATTCCTTTTGGCTGTTAGCAAATCAAAATTATCAAGGCAGTCATGCACTCAAAACACTCCACCAACATTTGAGCAAATCACAACCCACTCACTAACACACTGAATCAGTGCTGTTTTCTTGGAATCAGTCTAGACTGAGATTGGTGGTCATGAGAATGGCAAACACAGTGCCGACTTCCAAGTTGTGTTTGACCTCTCTGTTTACAGATGTCATGTCTTAGGAGCCAACCAGAAATCGTGCGGACATTGAGGTTTGATCACTTCTTCGGCATTGATCAAACACTTCATGAAACATGCATGAGATATTTGCCCTCCATGTAAATGTTTGTTTGCCTGAAATTGTTACACGGCACCTTGTGATCCCCACACTGCATGGACTGCCAGCATCTTGGCGACCATCAGTTACCAAGGACTGTAATTGACGATGAAGTCACTTCGCATTAGGCCCACTCCAACTGTTATCTGAAGGGGTACTTTTCAATTGCATGGGAACTACTTTTCCAGACAGCTGCAAAAGAATCTCTGTTAACTGAGCAGAATACCCACTCAGATCTTTCTAGGAATGTGACTTCAATGTTCAATTAACACTTTGTCTACTTCAGAAGAAAAATGTGAGAGAATGTTTTGGATCATGGAAAACTGAAATTAGGTCATGTTTCAAGTATCAGTTGGCTTTGTTGTGAAACAAGTGGAGAAGGTTTTTTGGCAAAGGTGATGTAGAAGAAGGGGTGTGTGTGTGTGTGTGATATTTTAACAGGGACAGACACACAAGCTGCTCATTAGAGTGTAAGGATGTCATGTAACTGTATGGCTGAGGAAGAAAACATCAGCAACATATTCCTGGTGCCTTCATCACTGGCAATGTTTGTACACATACAGTAGATGTGGTTATAGACCTGTTTGTGGTCATTGTTGTCCACTCCCTAATTCAGGTAGTGAGGAGGTAGCTCAGTGGTGAAGGTGTTGGATCATCAGGCATGTACACCTGTGTTTGGTGCTCAGCCAGGCAAACAAAGTATTTGAATGAGTTTGTGTTTGTTCAGATCCAAATTTAGGTTAGCATGTAGAAATGATGTGGCATCTTCATATAAATATTTAGTGTAACATAACATAGAGTTCCAGGTTGGAGGTGGTCAGACTTGCTCACTTTCTTGATGTAGGACATTGTTTTTAAATTTTGTATATGTTCATGATTTCAATAACTGCATGCTCTGTTCCTAACTTGAATATTTTCAGACTGCCACCATATCCATGGAATATTGCTGAGTGCAGCATTAAACTACAAACATTTGAGTCCAACATGCACAAGATGATGTTTTAAATATTTCTCCTCTCTTGTAGTAAATTAGAAGAAACATCACAATGTTTCATTTTTCCATAAATAATTTGACAGATTTTCTGAGAGCAGTAAATATTGACAGCACTTTATTGTCTCACTGTACATTGCGCCACACAATACAAGCAACTCGTCAACAATCACTTCCACATAGAGGGCAAGTACATGACACTATTCATAACAAGATGCACTAATTATTTACACAATCACAGGATTTTCACAAACAAATTCATGTCTAACAAAATATGTCATTTTTCATACATCATGTACATATTATATACAGTAACAAATATGTAACAGAAATAAAGACTCTATATTCAAATACAGCAAAGACTCAATATATATAGTTTATACAGACTTTGGTTATTGTACAATAGACTCTAATCCAGCCACTCGGTAATCAAGACACTCAGTAATATGGCCATTTCTTAACAGTAACAACGGCGTAACGTGCCTAGTTAACTCAGTAGCATTATCTGAATACTTCACACACAGTAATTCAGCAGGACGGTGTGCCCTGGTTTGTCCAGTGCTTCACCATGACAAACAGTCAAAGGAACCTCTTTCATCTCAGAATGAAACCTCATTCAACTTGGAATGAAACCTCATAATCTGGGAATAAAACCTCATCCATCTCAGAATGAAACCTCTTTCATCTCAAAAGAAACTTCATTCATGTTAGAATGAGTCTGATCTACGACAATTTTAAATGTTTCAGGAATAACAGGTCCTGTATATGGAAGAGTGTCCATTCATGTACAGAACAGTGTGTATCCCTGCTATCTATGCCATGGCAACATTGCTCAATATCACAAAGAAAATAGAAGATCATGTCAGAAATCCTCGTTCTGTCGCAAGGGGAGACAACTAGGGGTCATCTGTTAGCTCCCAACTTTCAATGGTTGTGTCAGGACACATTATTCATGTAGAAGATTTCTGACATGGTTCGATGGACAGTGATGCATGTTATGCTACTTCTTGGTCATGGCTTAAGGCTCAAAACTCCGGGGGAACTATCCCCAACCTGCCACAAGGTAAAGGTCAGGGTTCCATTGCTTTCATGGTCTCAAGGTGTGAAGGTGTTTCAACGTGTAAACCTTGGGATTCTGTTGTTCATGTGCTTTCATCCATTCTAAATGCCACCACCATGATACGACCAGAACATGAACCGACTGCATTATTCCATTCTGTATATATTGTATATTCCAGTAACACAAAGATGATGAATATGTAAAAAGGTATTTTAAACTTGAAGAGCCGACATTATTGAATTATGGTATGAATTTGAAGGAATTTTATCTTATTTCCTTATCACCATCGTCTGTGACCAATAAAACACGTCCCATGATGTCCTGGCTGAGCATATACCTGTTTCTACATGGTTGTGGACATGCTAATAAGGCTGTTATTATGCATTGCTTGTCAATGGAAGTGTGTTGGTTTTTCCAATAGACCAGATAATGTCATTAATCCGACTAGTCTTGGGAATTTCCCTTGGCCTTGGAGTATGTGTCTCCCCACAGGAATATTCCAGGGTTGGTTTCTGGAATTCATTCCATTGATGTCAGCTTTGTGTCAACAGCACTTTGTCATTGTCAATTCACCTTCATTTAGCAGATCACTCAAGCTAAGAATGCCAAGAATAAAAATTTTCATTGCATGCAGATTGCAGTGTTGAATACCGGTATCAGTTTTAGATATGCTCAACTATCAATTAAGGAATCACGCATGAAGCAGCCTTGTTTCATCTTGTGTGACAAATGTGATTATAATGCTACAAGTTGTAATGAGCTGTTTGAGACGATGACAGGCAGGATACAGTAGATATCTATCACAGGGTGCTTATTAGCACCTGAACTCTCTCTATTTCAACATGTGGGCGACAATGCAGGAAGTAGATATGATCGAGTGGATTATCCCTGCTTGGAGCAGTCAGTGGCCTACAGCTAGATGCTTGATTGGCATTTGAGAAGATCATATTTGATGAACATAAAGAAATTTCTGGATTTCATCTTCTTTTTATTCTGATCTGTTACCGTTCATTAGTTTTACCTGATGGGGCTGGAACAGGCCCCAAAACGTTGTCTTAAAGAATAACAAGAAAATGAAATCCAGATTCCAATTCTTTATGTCCAGCAACATTTTAGCAAGGTAGGGAACACCAGAATTGGGCTTCGCACATCATTGTACCAATGTGGGGAATGGAACCTGTGACTTGGGTGACAAGCGAACACTTTAGGCACTTGGCTAGCCTACTGTGCTGCCTACTGTGCTGCCTACTGTTTCAGTAGCATCCTGATCTGTCACCTGGATGTGGTAGGGAAGGGATCCTGGTCTTGTGTATCATGTCATCATTGCCAGAGTTCAGTTAGGATTGTTGGCTTCCTGTTGCATGTGACTATTGACAGGTGTTAAAATACATCTATGGTCATTAGATTCTTTATAGTTAATCAGTTTCATTGCATATCAGTTGATGAGACACACAAGCCAAAAGATAAACGACAGGTCCTAGGTTTAGCTTGTGTAACCATACATATCTCAGGATGAGTCACGTTACTTCTCTTTACTGAAGTAGCAAAAATCATTTGTACACACTTTACTTCCTGTTTCATGTGTCATGTTTGTGTCTCCATCAGAGCACATGTATCGGTTCATTACCCAGGCCCACAAGGGCACAATGTGTGAAGCCCATTTCTGGTGTCCCCTGCCGTGATGTTGCTGGAATATTGCTAAAAGCGGCATAAAACCAAACTCAGTCAGTCAGTCAATCATTACCCAGGCTATAGCATCCCTTCCCTGATTCAGGTGGCAGGGTGGCCGAGAGGTTCAACTCCTCAGTCTGTAGTGCTGGAGACCTGGGTTTCATGCTCCACAAGGGTAAAATGTGTTAATCCAAATATGTGTCAGGTCCTAAGAGAAACTAAACATTATGACAATGTTATATTTTTCACAGTATGTCAGTACAGATTTGTATAATAAGTTCTGAACCTTTCTATCACAACTTTCTTGCTTCATATAAGTTTACATTATGGAATAAAACTCTAAAAATCCAACTTTATGTCTTTCTATAAAACCAAAAAGTCATTCAATATGGCAAAACTGTTTCCTCATTTATAAGTTGTTCTGTTTTTGTTACTCTACAAAATATATGCAGAGAATCAGGTCAAATATTTAAAAACAACTCTCTAAGTGACACCATCATTTATATTATTCCTTTCAAAAGCACTGGTAATGCCTAATATTCATGAAACCATAATTTCAGAGACTGAGAATTTTTATGAAAAAGTTTTGTATTCCTTGAAAGCAATTATGGAGAATTAGATTTTATGGAAGGGTATTCAAGTAATGTCCCTTATTATTTTTGGTCGTCCAATCATGGGGACCTTAATCTCTTGCCTTCATTCAATTCACGTAGCATCAGATTCATGTGCAGCAATTCAGTTAGAAGAGACTGCTGCATGGATGTGTTCATTAAAAACTTTCTCAATGAAGGAGTTCATAAAATTGTATTATCAGAATAAACACAAATGTTAACAGTCTCTAATCAGGATGCTGCAGGCAGGAATATCATCCTCGGTTAACCCACAGCCTTGATCCCTTCAGTCTAAAGCAAATCACATTACTCTCAGTTTTCAACTCAAAATGCGAAAGAAAATCACATGTTAAGAAAGAGCTAGACATCAGGTTAGTATCATTTTGTCATACCCTTGTATGTGTTTTCTCAGTGTTTTAAAATGAAGCATACATCAAATCAAACCCTTCATACATATGAAATATATTGAAACATATTCATGTTAAAATATAATATAAAGTCCACATTGAATAAAAATACAAAAATAATCCTCCTTCCTCTGTTATTGAGTGTAGTTGATAGCGTGTATTCTGCTCATATCACATATACAATGTCTGTATTACACAGCAATTCAAAACATATGATATGATGTATATGTCAGCATGTATGTAATACAAGTAAACCTTACAATGTATGTTCACTGTTTCCAATATCCACACAAACCTGTTCATAATCCTGTATCATAATGAAACATATGGCACATCTTGACATCAAGTAAGTTTCTTTGTGACATCGTTTTTTGTCTGCATCATGGTTGCCATGACTGCAGGAGAGACAGACACTGGCAATTGTGACCACAGTTATTAGAATTAGAGCATTTTGTAATGCAGTTCTTTCATTTGAAACCTCTTGATACTCTCTGAAAGTTTGCAAACCATAATTTTGATATGTTTGTGTGCAGAATTCAGACTCTCCTCAATAAATCCAAATCCAGAGTTCATCTTTTCATGCAACCCATCCAATGGACCAGCAATACCATAAAACAAAGCCACATAAACTCGGTTTACTTCTTTTTGTAACTCTTTTCATTTTAGTTTAAATTTAGGTTTAAATTAATCAAAATCAAAATGAAGAGTAAACGGAAAATTCCACTAATATATCCATTTATTTTATTTGTTTGAGGAGCAAGGATGTTGTTGTATTTTCCTGGTGATGTTATCAGTTTTGTTTCAGGCTACATTTACATGACATTCATAGTCAAGCAAAATATAACATATCAATATATTACAGTGCTCATCAGCTTACATGACATTTCTAAAAGTCGGAAAAACAAGACAAGAACGGCAGCGCCATATCGTATTTAGTTCTTTTTGACAGACTAGCTGATGCATGCTTTAATGAATGTTGACTGGTAAATACTTTCTGTACTGCAATACTATGTATCCTTCAGTGCACTGTGTGACCTTCACCTACAGAATGGAAGAAACCAAGAAGTACTGTCCGTAATGACCTGGCTTCAGGCTTGGATACAAGCTGTCATCATAAAATCCATGTCTTTTTTCTTTCTGTCTATCTCTGATAAAATAATGGTGGAAAACATTGGCGATTGTTTTCTAAATTTGATCAGTTTGATATAACTGGATGGTAAAGTTTTAAATAATAGGATTGCTAAACCAGTTATGGTAATTAGAAATGTCTGTCAGAACAACTCAAGGAATATTAAAAAAACAGGAACACTACATCACATACTGCTTTCCGTTTGAAGCGAATGTAACATGTTTTGTACTCGATAGAATTGATGTAGTTCTTGTACAAACCAACTTACTTCTACCACATGTTTATCAGGACACTATACATTCCTCCTCCTGCCTGAGAAATGTCTTCATGAAACAATGAGGTACATGGTAGACCTTATACATATGTCACGGGACTTAACTTTCTTGTGAATGGTTCAGACATACCTTCCAACTTACAGAACAACCGTACACATAGTGAGACAGGCAGACTGTATGTAGGGGCAAGAAGGTACCCCCTTATTGTATTGGACAGCGACACCTGTGGTAGATATTAGACACTGCTTCCATTATAGGGCATAGAGTGAGCCCTTTCACATACTGGACAGTAACACCTGTGGTAGATATTAGACACTGCTTCCATCATAGGGCATAGAGTGAGCCCTTACACATACTGGACAGTAACACCTGTGGTAGATATTAGACACTGCTTCCATCATAGGGCATAGAGTGAGCCCTTACACATACTGGACAGTAACACCTGTGGTAGATATTAGACACTGCTTCCATCATAGGGCATAGAGTGAGCCCTTACACATACTGGACAGTAACACCTGTGGTAGATATTAGACACTGCTTCCATCATAGGGCATAGAGTGAGCCCTTACACACATACTGGACAGTAACACCTGTGGTAGATATTAGACACTGCTTCCATCATAGGGCATAGAGTGAGCCCTTACACATACTGGACAGTAACACCTGTGGTAGATATTAGACACTGCTTCCATCATAGGGCATAGAGTGAGCCCTTACACATACTGGACAGTAACACCTGTGGTAGATATTAGACACTGCTTCCATCATAGGGCATAGAGTGAGCCCTTACACATACTGGACAGTAACACCTGTGGTAGATATTAGACACTGCTTCCATCATAGGGCATAGAGTGAGCCCTTACACATACTGGACAGTAACACCTGTGGTAGATATTAGACACTGCTTCCATCATAGGGCATAGAGTGAGCCCTTACACATACTGGACAGTAACAGATATTAGACTGTGGTATAGATATTAGACAGTAACACCTGTTCCATCATCATAGGGCATAGAGTGAGCCCTTACACATACTGGACAGTAACACCTGTGGTAGATATTAGACACTGCTTCCATCATAGGGCATAGAGTGAGCCCTTACACATACTGGACAGTAACACCTGTGGTAGATATTAGACACTGCTTCCATCATAGGGCATAGAGTGAGCCCTTACACATACTGGACAGTAACACCTGTGGTAGATATTAGACACTGCTTCCATCATAGGGCATAGAGTGAGCCCTTACACATACTGGACAGTAACACCTGTGGTAGATATTAGACACTGCTTCACATACTGGACAGTAACACCTGTGGTAGATATTAGACAGAGGGCATAGAGTGAGCCCTTACACATACTGGACAGTAACACCTGTGGTAGATATTAGACACTGCTTCCATCATAGGGCATAGAGTGAGCCCTTACACATACTGGACAGTGACACCTGCGTTAGACAATGTACATCCCACTGAGCAAGGGAACATGGCCTAATCTGTCATTGTTGTTCTGCCGTTAGCAGAGGGTGTAAGGAGCATGGCCCGATGTAGCATGGCTGTTCAGATTACTCCTATTGTAATGAAGTGCACAGGTCCTTCAATTATCGGTGGGCATAGGACGTCTCTTGGTTCAGACTCTGAGAGTTGTCTCCCTTGACACACAGTTGACCGGTCAACAGTCTTCGGTAGGCATTCTGGAAGTTCCTGTCCATCACGGTGTAGATGACTGGGTTCACGCAGTACAGGAGCCAGGCCATGAACGGAGCCCAGATGTGGGGCAGGGGATACTTCACCTTGGGGTCCAGGATATTGCTTACAAAGTAGGGGGTTGTACCTAGAAGGAATCCACAGAAAATAAACAACATCATTCCAGTAAGACGAAGGGAATCTTTTTGAGCTTTTTGCCTTCGATATTGACTGGCAGTCCGTGTGACTCGTTTTCGGGAAAAATATGCCATACATCCAATTCTGGCATAACAGAAGCAGATGAAAATGCATGGTATCACAAATCCTAGCGTAACTGTGGTTATTTTATGGGACTTGTTAGAACTAAAGGTGAATGTACACTGAAGAATCGCCTCCTGAAATGAGAATGATCCCCATATCCCAATAATCGGTGTGATGCAGAAATACAGGGAAAACACCCAGCAGATTATTACCACTGCCAAAAACGGTCCTCGGCTGGAGAACTTCGAGTAGATTGTTGGATGCACGATGTGAAGGAATCGATACAAAGCTATAGCACTCAGGAGCATCATATTCACGCCAATCAGCCAGAATCGGACTGCTGCATGGAGGACGCACAGGTCCGACGGTAGAATCCAGTCTCGGTAGTGGTATGTGAGGGCTTGGAGAGGCAGGATGAGAACACAGTAGATCACTTGGGCAAAACTCAGATTGCCGATTAAAATACTGTTGAGATTTGTTTTGAGATTTGATGATACAATTGCAATTACTGTTAAAAGATTTCCTGTAGATCCCACAATTGCAAACAAGATTGTTAAGACCTCGGCTGATATGAACATTGCTTCTGGGAGGTGTTTTGTGGGGTTGCCCACTGTGTCATTGTTGGTGGTGTTGATAACATTCATCATGGTGCTTGTCAGTGGTCAGCCCTGGTCAGTCATGGACAGATCAGTAGCCTGCTGACTTTCTGGAAATGGAAGCACAGTTTGTTCAATTTATTCACGGTAGGATTCTCATATTCGACCAAGAAAGTATAACGTTGATGTGTTGGTGGCACTGGCTATAGATCCTGTGTATAAAGATACATGGGGTATTTTCTCTTTTTGTTGAGTTGTTTTGATTTGAATATTTTTCTCCTTGCACAGTTCACATTTAACCTTTCAAACCAACATTCCTTTCTTGGAATTAAACTTCAGCATTCATCTTGTGATGCTGGCTTCAAACTTCAATGGAACCGAAAATCTTTTGGAGTCAGCTCAGTTGCAGTGTCCAGTTCAGTTTCAGGATTTTCTCAGTTTTCACAGTTGTCGTAAGCCTTTCATCAGTGTCTGCTTGGTGTCTCCAGTATCACGTGATCAAGTGCTGCTGTCACTATATAATCAATTTCTGCAACTATATTCATTTCTTCTCCAGTTTTATATCTTTGACAAGGAGTTGTCTTCTTGTTAGCTCATGAAATTGATGTTCGATATCAATGCACCTTGCAGCCGAGGAGTAATTGAATGTGATGAAAAAAAGCAGAGTTGATTTTCTTTGAACTTTAAATCCCTGCTGATCATTTAAACCCTGAAAGAAGAAAACAAAACATGATGAATTCCGAAGTATGTTAGGATTTAGGATCATAAGTTCTGGATGATATTGGAAAACTACAGAATATGTCTTCTGGATAAAACATTTAACAATAAACAATTTTGTTGATCCTTTTAAGTTCTGATGTATTGATGACTTTTTTGACTGACTGACTGACTGAGTTTGGTTTTACGCCTCTTTTAGCAATATTTCAGCAACATCACGGTGGGGAACACCTGAAATGGGCTTCACACATCGTACCCATGTGGGGATTCGAACCCGGGTCTTTGGCGTGATGAGCCAACGCTTTAACCACTAGGCTACCCCATATTTTTTTAAATATACATTGATAAAAGATATTTTGCAGAAACCAATACATGCAAAACTAAGTTACATTTTATGAGCAGTTATAAGTTATTATTACTGATTCAGATACTCATTGAATCACTCACTCACTCACTCACTCACTCACTCACTCACTCACACTCACTCACTCACTCTCACTCTCAGTTTATGTTTTTCTTATCAAAGCAAAACAAAAAGAGAAATGTGTTATTGCAAGCCCACTTAGATACTTCATAAACTTTATCTGTTTATTTCAAATATTCTTCGAAAATGTTTGAAAAGATTGTTGTTTGATTACACACACGGCAATATCCCAGCAACTCTATCCCTGATCTCACAGGGTGTAATAACAGAATATATACTATGTCCGAAACACACTGCTGGTGCCTTGTCCATATTTGATTGAAGCATTGAACACACATATTCACTCACAACATTCCAAACAATTCAAAACATATAGGTGTTCCAGGGAATTGTACATGCAGAGATATCATGGGTAACTGTTTTGTCAGTATGAGCAGCATGGATCCTGATGCCAGGATGCCAATGCTATCCAGGTTGTGCCATATGATAACAGCCCCGTGATTCCCAACTCCAGGTTGTGCCATATGATAACAGCCCCATGATTCCCAACTCCAGGTTGTGCCATATGATAACAGCCCCGTGATTCCCAACTCCAGGTTGTGCCATATGATAACAGCCCCGTGATTCCCAACTCCAGGTTGTGCCATATGATAACAGCCCCGTGATTCCCAACTCCAGGTTGTGCCATATGATAACAGCCCCGTGATTCCCAACTCCAGGTTGTGCCATATGATAACAGCCCCGTGATTCCCAACTCCAGGTTGTGTCATACGATAACAGCCCCCTGATGCCCAACTCCATGTTGTGTCATATGATAACAGCCCCGTGATACCCAAGTCCAGGTTGTGTCATGCGATAACAGCCCCATGATAATTTACCCAACTCCAGGTTGTGTCATACAATAACAGCCCCGTGATGCCCAACTCCATGTTGTGTCATATGATAACAGCCCCGTGATTCCCAATTCCAGGTTGTGTCATGCGATAACAGCCCCGTGATTCCCAACTCCAGGTTGTGTCATACGATAACAGCTCTGTGATTCCCAACTCCAGGTTGTGCCATACGATAACAGCCCTGTGATTCCCAACTCCAGGTTGTCGATAACAGCCCCATGATTCCCAACTCCAGGTTGTCGATAACAGCCCCATGATTCCCCATTCCATCCAATGTGGTTACAGTACTGACACAACATGACACCATCTGATGCACAGAAAAGGACGAGTGTGAGTGACTAAATATTCTCGTCCTGTTTCAGGAAGAACTGACCCAGAGTGATCCAACACTAGCACAATGGGAAATATTACACACCACTAAAGTGCCAGAACAATCACACAATAATACAGTCCATGGTTCATTTTCAGTAATTAAAAATATCTGAATGTTGTCAGTTCTGGTAATTTTACACTCGTTTGTTTTGAATAGTATACTAGCCACTTAAAGAAACTGTGCACTTTATAAGCTGAAGTATCGGGCCACAACAACATGTCAAAAGAACATGAACAATATCCGTAACGATGACGTCAGAAGTTCAAAATTGAGTAGGGGGTCACACGTCGAAGTCACAAAGTCAATAACGGGTATGACCATCATGCGTGTGAAGCACAGCAGTGCATCGACGACGCATAGAGGCTACCAAATGAGCATTGAAGGCCTGGGGAATGTTTGGGACGTGGTCACTGCCGTCTGGAACCTGTGTCTGAGATTATTCACCCGAATCCATCTGTCCTGTCTTGGCGTCGTTACTCTCGGGGACACCCAGAACGTGGGTGGTCGGCAAATCATTACTGTTTCCATAACGCCTGACCAATGCAGATATCGTGTTACGATGACATTGGAAATGACAGATGTGACAGTGACAGCAATTTCTGAGTTTCACATGTTGTGTACAGCTGCACAGGCTGCACTTGCAGTAACACATTGCAAGTCCATAGGCCACCATCAATGACGTCACGTCGCCTGGCACCTGCATGAGCGTTTGATTGTCTCCAATACTTGCTATGTTCACACCTTTATTTATTTATAAAGACACTGTCTGCCTATCTTTATATTTTCTGTGTGCACAGTTTCTTTATGTGGCCAGTATACATTTGAACCATTGTGAAATAGAACACAAAACACAATCTATTGTGTCATAACTGCTTCAAATACCTGTACAGTACTCAACAGAGTTAATCTCTCTTATATATTGCTATACAACTATACCAGTCACTTTGCCATCATCACAGAAGCAGGTGGTCCTTAGCTGGTTCTAGGTAGTGTACTAGCTGAAGTTCAACAAGTCTTTTTCCCACCTTGATGTTCTGGAAATGTGTACAAGTGTGGAAATGTGTGGAAATGTGTAGAAGTGTGGAAATATGTCAGAAATGCAATCAGTGATGAAACCATTATTCAGATGCAGTCCCAGCAGAGGGAAGTGTCATCCTGGGTTACAAGTAGTCAATTCTGATTCTCTCCATGTCTCCCTCCATGTATACTCTCTCCATGTCTCCCTCCATGTATACTCTCTCCATGTCTCCCTCCATGCATACTCTCTCCATGTCTCCCTCCATGCATACTCTCTCCATGTCTCCATCCATGTATACTCTCTCCATGTCTCCCGCCATGCATACTATCTCCATGTCTCCATCCATGCATACTCTCTCCATGTCTCCCTCCATGTATACTCTCTCCATGTCTCCCTCCATGCATACTCTCTCCATGTCTCCCTCCATGCATACTCTCTCCATGTCTCCATCCATGCATACTCTCTCCATGTCTCCATCCATGCATACTATCTCCATGTCTCCATGCATACTATCTCCATGTCTCCCTCCATGCATACTCTCTCCATGTCTCCCTCCATGCATACTCTCTCCATGTCTCCCTCCATGCATACTCTCTCCATGTCTCCATCCATGCATACTCTCTCCATGTCTCCATCCATGCATACTCTCTCCATGTCTCCCTCCATGCATACTCTCTCCATGTCTCCATCCATGCATACTCTCTCCATGTCTCCATCCATGCATACTCTCTCCATGTCTCCATCCATGCATACTCTCTCCATGTCTCCATCCATGCATACTCTCTCCATGTCTCCCTCCATGCATACTCTCTCCATGTCTCCCTCCATGCATACTCTCTTCATGTCTCCCTCCATGCTTACTCTCTCCATGTCTCCCTCCATGCATACTCTCTCCATGTCTCCATCCATGTATACTCTCTCCATGTCTCCCTCCATGCATACTCTCTCCATGTCTCCATCCATGTATACTCTCTCCATGTCTCCATCCATGTACTCTCTCCATGTCTCCATCCATGTATACTCTCTGTTGTTGGTGTGGGTGTAAGTCTGCCATGAAGCTCATGACTGCAGTTAATCCACCTGAGATGTCAAGTGAGTGAGTGAGTTCAGTTTTACGCAACTGCTGATGCCAGACAGGTCATCAGGAACTACAGAATATCAGCTGTCTGGAAACTAAGCTCATTCAGCACAAAATCAAACCCCCACCACAGTGTTACATAATAATCTTGATACATCCCCTTGAGTCCAATTATGTTGTGCATCATGCGAAGGTTCAATAAATATGTATGTTGTAGTATTCAATGATGCATCTTTCAATACACATCAATGAAGACATCTCCTTGACTATATAAGGCCGTAATTCACAAGTTGCTTGTTGATGCATGGTGCACAATTTGGTTGAGGCCAGTGCAGTATGTTGAGAGCCTGTATTGTCTTCCACCATGTTGAAGTATCAGATTCATACTTTTCACAAAAGCAGTGGCGATTAAGATCTAATAAGTTGAACTGGAACAAGCCTGAGAATTTCCAAAAGTTGAATACATAGTTTTAACTGATTTCCTTCACGAACGTGTCGCAAGGTAGATCTGCTGACTCATGAGTATTACAACCGCCTATGATACAGTGACTTGTGAACCACAGATTGCATAGCTGATTAAAAGCCCGTGATATAGTGAGTTTAACACTGAATTACAAAGATGGCACAACCCCAACTGAGCCAGCTCTCCACACAATGTAGTAGCGCTTCCCACTTCCCCAAGTCTGACTTCAGTCTCTAAGATGATCTATTCCACCAGCGGAGACCACATATTTCAAGAGAATGAATATTGCAGTATGTCTACACAGTTGTAGTAGATGGATTTGGCTTTTAATTTGTAAATGGGTTGTAATCAATATAGGCTTTCACTGGCAGTTTTAGTAAGTTATGTTTCTTCACTGTGAAGAATGAGGACAGCTCATGCCTCCATGTTTGCCGAATCCATCGGTTGTGTGTAGAGGTCAGGTTTACAACGTGTTGTCACGCTGCTGGAACAGAGGCTGAAATGGCGTTGTCAGCAGTTTACTGGTTGTATGATACTGATCAACACAGTAGATTGTATGATGTGATATATGCAGTATTCAGTATAATAATAATCAGACCACTTATATAGCGCGCTGAACTCCAGGCCGCAGTGACATGCTCTAAGCCCATACAACACAATGGACATTATTTCTTTGGATAACCCAAGCTATCTGTGAGACACTAAAAGGTTAATAGTCATATGTCTTATCCCACCGGGTAC